GGAAACACTTTTTTACTGTGGGGGTAACCGAGCACGGGCACAGGTTTCCCAGGGAGACTGTGGAGTCTCCATCCCTGGAGATACTCAAAAGCTGTGTGGACATGGTCCTGGGCAACTGGCTCCAGACAACCCCATTTGAACAGGGGAGTTGGACCAGATGACCTCCCTTCCAACTTCAACCACTCTTGTGATTCTGCAAAAATTAAAACATTAAAATTGGTACAAATATTTGTGCTTTATGTATCACACTAAATGTCTTCAAAGGAAGGGAACAGTCCTGGTTTGACATCCTTTGCAGTGACATGTAATGCAAATCCCTTCTCAGATATTCAGCAAGGTCCCTAAATTCCCTAATAGCTCCCCTTTGCCCTCTTGGTAGTCTGCCAGTCTTGCTACGTCTCCTGCAAGCTTCCTGTTTCTGACTTACACTTTTGAGAACCTCTTTAGCTATTTGCCCTCACAATTTCCTCTGTGCACACTGCCTGATGTAGTTTACACTATTGTGTAAACTACCTTGCGCTAGGTGTCAACAGTGGAAGGAGAGGAAGGGTTTACTCTGTCTATCCAGTGGGCCAAGTTTTCTTGTTCTTAGAGTTTTCTAATGTAAGTATTTAAAAAAAAAACCCACAAGGCAGCAGCTTGTGTCCCTTTTAAGAGTCTGGCTCTTTAATTCAGAGTCCCTCCAAAGAAATTAAACTAACTGACGAAGACTAAAGAAGAGCAGGTCTCTGCACCCTTTCAAAGACAAAAATGTAAGGGCTGAGTGCTGACTCGTTTAGCCTTGCCAAAGGAAGACTGAGGGACACAAGGGGGGGTCAAATCTCTTGCTATAAATACCTCAGGGAGAAAACAGTTATTCATGCTAAGAGACAATGCTGGCAGAAGAACAACTGCATATACACTAGCTGTGAATACATTTAGGATGAATACTGAAAGCAGATTTTCATCCACTGGAGCGAAGAGACACCAGAGCAGCCTTCAAAGAGGAGCAACAGCAGCACGTGTGCACAATGGCATCCAAGTTCAAGAACAAGAGTTTAACAGGAGACGGGACTGACACAGAAGACCCATTTTACTGCTGCATCCTTGTCATCTGTTCCACATTATAATTCATTCCGATGAAAGATGAAGACTTTTAATTAATAACTCTGTGGCATGTTACACCCCTGCATAAACCTCACGATGGCCTGTAGTGATGAATGACAGCCAATCACACTAAATAAAAAATTCCTGCCAGTTTATGCCTCATAGAAAAAGTATCAGCATGACATACCAGAGTTTATCAGTCTCAGAAATAATCCCAATAAAGCATGTATATAATTCAACCTTCAATGTGTGGCTGACATACAGATTTTGTACTCAGATTGCTATTTCAGCTACGGGCTAGATTTCTCACTTCCTTCATGCTCCTCTGGAAGTTTTTCCAATGTAGTCACCGTGGAGGCACAGTTAAATGGGTACAGACATCTCCAAAGGTGACATCATATAGTCCTCCTTCTTACACTGAAATACGCCATGCAGGCAAAAGGCACTTTTATACCATTAAAACCGCAAATGAGCTAGGAATATCGTATGCTTTAATTAGACTTGAACCACTAACACAGTCTCATGTGAAGTCAAGTCCTTGAAAGAAATCTTTAAAACAAAACTAGACCTGTGTCAGCATGAAACCTATTCTTGCCTCACCAAGGTTTTGCTCATTCCCTGGTTCTGAATGCCAGAAGATAACTTTCTTTCATAACAGACTGCCCTGTAACATTGTGTTGTGAATTTCACATTCATAATTTTATTATAATCTGCATAGAGGCGATATCTGAAGAGCAGAGAAAATGACTATACAAAGAATTTATAGAACATTCATTTACATACTAGAGACCTTTTGATGCTTCTTTACAGTTTCAAGAAAAAGGCAGAAATTTTCACTAGTAGGTAAATCCAAGAAGGAAACATTAAATTTTTAATGATACTGTTGGATACACGGAAACCATTGAATTAAAAACATGGCTTTTAGCATTTTTTGTAGTTTAACACTGTATGATTATAACAGTACACTTACTAAGCAGGTTAATAGGAATCTGGCTAAATACATGTGTCAACTTGCTGCCATTAGTTATGAAACTGCATATACATATCTACCAAAAACCTTGAAAGAAAGTGCTGTATTAACTATTTAGTCTTGTATTTGCCATGGACATAAGTTTTGTGAATATCTTTCTACATACACTACACAATGGTACATCCTGAACTATTTTGCTTTGTGCATTTTTTAATCCATTAAAAAGAAAAAGCACGGGGCAATATACCATCCAAAGGAATGCATAATAGAAAACTTCCCTTAGAAACAGGGCAAATTCTTTTTTCCCACTTACAAGTAGAGCTAAACTCCCAGGAAACACCACCAGGAGTATCAGCATTCAATTCCTTATGCTCTTAAATTCAGCAGGCCTTGAGAAATCACAAGGAATAAAAAATAAGGCCCTGAATGGAAATGGTAATATATGGGGGAAAAAAAAAGACACTTTATTTTCAGCCCAAAGGCCAACACTTGGTGTCTAACAAGACATGCTAAAATTTAAGTATCATCTACAGAAGTGAAAAAATACAGTAAAAAATTCTGCCTCATTTCAATGCTCACAGCACATCAGATATAAATCTAATTGTGACTTAAATCTAATTGAGATGTCAGCTGAAGAAATTCAAAGGGCTCCAATGGGCTGAGAAGATTAGGCAACTGGTTTCTTGGTGCATCAAAAGAATATTAAAAGGAAACTTGTCCTCACATGTTTCAAAAGAATCCAAGCTCCTAAAAGTAAGAACTGCATTTTTTTTTGGATGGTACATAAACACCATTTAAGTAGTATACCTCTGCGTCAGAAGAACAGAATTATTTGGTACAAATCAGAGGCACTTGCTTTTGTTGCTTCAATGGTAGCTACTACACTTTGGATTGCTTCACCCTTCTACACACATCCTATGCCCACTACTACTAATACACCACTTCCTGGTCCAAATACATCAAACTTCAAATCTTTCTTCTCGCTCCCTCTCTTCCCCACCACCGTTCCTTTTAAAAAGTGTGAAGTTATTTATAGAAAATTCATAGTTGCACAAATAATTTCGTAACACTTTTGGCTATGGTCACTGAATAAGGTTTCCATGGTCCTAATACTTTAGGAAATAGGAAGAGAGCTGTTAATAAAAACTAAGTAATAATTTATACAGGACAAACGTAGTTCAAACTGGTGGAACCTTCTTACAATATAGGCCAACTAGAGTTTCCCATTCCACTTAACCATTATTTAGTACAAGTGGATAAAAGGATTAAATCCTCCAAGTGGGTACAGTTCCTAGTTAATCCAGTGCCTCATGCATCAGTATGCTGAATTCAGCATGTTATTTTATTCCTCAGGTTATTAATATAATGTTGACAGCCACACATCAAAGAAACAGAGGCAATGAAACTTTTCAGCACTGTCTCACTGCAGCTGAAGTTACCATCAGTTCTGATATGGGGGCCTAGTATTGTTTTTTGGAGTGAATGGGGGTTGCTCAGTAGACCTCAGCAGCTTACGTTCCTCGTGAAGGTTTCCACTGCAACCTACTGTATCAATTTTCTGTAAAGCTAGCTAGCGCTTTGTTGTGCACTTAAAATACCACTGTGTTTAAAAAGATGCAGAGATATGTACAAGTGTGATGGTTGTAGAAATCATGACATAAATGGTCTCAAGAAATGGGACAGAGTAACAAAATAAATTCCATTCCCTTTTGGATTTCCTGACTCAAGGAATTATTAAAAAAAATTATAAACCAAAAATAGTTCCTACTGTTAGTTCCTACTAAAAAAAACCCCAAAATTCCTCAAAGCTCCAATAAAAAGAGGGCCAAAAAAATCCACAATGTAATTATGTACTAGGCTAGGGAACAAATGTTACTACCAAAACAGTACTGCAGCGACAGGAAATGGGAAGTATTTTGTCACTGTAAGACAAAAGTCAAAATATGAAACTATTGCTTATTGCAAGGCACAGGCTATACATACTTTTACTTATGCAAAATAGCACTAAAGAGGCAAAGCTCAGCAATGGTCTAGTTTAAGAATATCCATACGACACACCAGGATCTGAGACCTACTATAAATAATCTGGCACAGGTAAAAATACATAAATTATAAAATTTTCTTCTTTGCTTTTCCCTCATTTTTATCCTGTAATTATTAAAATACAGAATCTTCCCTGCTTAGTTCTCTGTATAAAAAAAAAATAAAGACACAAAAAATCCCAATTACAAAATAGATTTCCACACAACCTTTTTTTTTTTCCTGCCACCTCTCCCCCATTTAAAATTTTTCAAACTGAAACAGACCAAGAGAGCATTCTCCCTGAATACACCACATTGCCACTCCTTTCTTATCAGAAATCAACTTGCACAAACCTTCTCTTCACATACATCTTCCCCTTTCTCCATTCAGTTCCCATCACTGATCACATAACGATGAAGGGAAGAGCAAATAGTCTTCCTCAGGCCATCATTCTCTTAAGAGCATATCTGCAAGGCCTATAGCTACCATTGATGCAACTATGGAAAGTGTCTTTGTGGAGGTTATACAAAACATTTTCTGCACAAAATAAGTAGCACAGCCTAGTGAGTATTTCTGCTCCAATAAATGTTGAGAAACAGCATGTGAAAATATATTAGAAACCCTTCAGGAGAAAAGATTTTCATTTATGCTTCATTCAGGTACGGGCTACATAGGTTTCGGTGGCACCCAGCTTCTTTTGTTTTGTCCTTTGATATAAAAACAAAGAAACAATGCTTTCTTAAGTCAGAGGCATCTTCAAAGAAAAGGCTGAACTCTTGCAAACACAATGCAGACAGACTGTCCTCTGCTTTCCTTCTTGGGAATGACAAGGTTCAGACGCTGCTGAATAGGCTTTCTCCCCCTCACAGTGCGTTCCTTCAGTGAAGTCAGTGAAGAGCTCCGAGTCAAGGATGGGAAGGCATCAGATCTTCTTCTGGGATCCGATCATGACCTTTGATACAAAGTTCACAATGGCGCTGGCAGGTTGCTCTGGATCGTGCTCTGCAAAGAGGTGGCATACGTTGTCTGTGGCACTGCCCTGCTTCCTGGCAACGAACCCAAATACTCTGCAAGGGCAACAACCACAGTCTATCAGAGAAGAGACAGCCAGCCATTGTCTCACTTCACAAAGCAAAAAAAATACTGCAGAGACCAAAAGCACAAATCAGACTTCATCTGTTGTGATGGACAAGGTCCTGTGTGACTGCTAGACACAGTGGTCTAGATGTACCAGCCAAGTCAGGAGCTCCCGAGTGGCTCAGGATGGCCAGAGTCGGGGAAGCAGACTGTCCCCTTCCTTCTACTTTGTCTGTATTGCATCCTGTACAGTTTGCTGTCAGAGGCATGCTGCTCACCCCAGGGATGTATTTAATCTGATTCAATACTGCTGTTCTCTTACCTACCTTGGGGGGTGTGTGGTGTGGTGTGTCAGGAATCACCTAAAGAGAGGTTTTGAGGTCCACACATCTCAGTGGACAGGGTACTGGAAAGAGCACTTAAGCCATCTATTTCTGTCCCTTTCCAGAAACCAGTGCCTGAATGCTCTCTGCCTAGGGTTTTTCTTTTGGTAAAAGGGGGACAACAATGTTTGCCTTCAACAGAAAACACTTTGCAATCCCCTGGTAATTATGTATTTATGCCACATATGAGCATTACTAGGAGTGTTTTCATCTATGTGGCATGTGTGTCTTGGTTTTTTTTGTTTGGTTGGTTGGATTTTTTTTAAGCTACCAGTCTAAGTGAGACAAGTAAGCTTGTGTTAGTGTTGCTGGACAAGAGGAACACCAAAGTGAGTAGCAAATGGCTGTTTTCATTTCTGAAACTGCAGTCAAATCACAGACCTGCAACTTAAAGCATGCTAGCTCTGGCTCCAGACAGCCCACCATCACATAATTAGGCCCTGACTTGCAGAGGTGCAGATGAAGTAACTGAAGTCTAATTACAGTGGGCAGAGAGACTTGTCTCTGAACAGCTGCGTTCCATTCTATATCTCTGACAAAAGATAATTTAGAACACTAAGAAACTCATCACTGTATGATATTCCTAAAACATTCAGTTAAAAGAGACTCAGACAGGTGTTCACTTACTTTGCAGAAAGGCCATCTTTCACCCATCTTGTTGTCCATTAAGAAAGCAGTTAAAAAAAAAAAGGAACGGAGAAATAAAAATGAAACCTATGTTAGTTTGTTTTGTAGATCAACAATACAAACAAGATACTAGAAATACTGCCTGTCTTCCTTACTTTCTGTCCTGGGGATCCAAAGCACAGAAAATAACAGTGTTGACTGGATAATGTCGCCGAAAAAAGAGTCTGGATAGGAAGGAATAAAACAAATTTTAGGAATAGTTAAGATACTCAAAATTTAAAACAATAAACAGATCTGAAAAATAAATTATATTTAAGCTAAATTTAGTAATAACGATATATATTTTTGTTATCTCTGAGTGACTCTGAAAGACACCTGACCCGCTCCAACCAAATAAATCCATATTTAGAATAGTAACATCAAGTTTAGATGAAAGAAAACTTACCCTCAAGCTAAGAAAAAGAACTAGATGTATGAAACCTATATTTTCTAAAAACTGGCCATTTAGATACTATGTCAGTGGGAAATGCAACTTCTTGGAACTTGTGAATAATTTGATTATATTAAATTTCAAAATATAGGCACTCCTAGGCATTATAATTTAAGGTTTTGTCCTTGATCTCCTATAAATGCTTGTAGACCCCATGGAATTAAGAAGTCTAGCAGGTTTTTTTTTTTTTAAACCTATAATGAATTCCTGTTGTCCCTCCCTTGTTACTGTCAGTTTTCAAATCTGAAGACTTTGTTGTAGCCTTAATAGCATTCACTGCAAAGTAAATATAAATTAACTTTTTACCACAGTATTTTACTACTACCCAAAGACTACCCAAAGCACTACTGCAAATACTGGAGATACAGCGTCTGCTTAGGCCAACTCTGTTCTGTGATACTGGTGAAAGATACCATGAAGATAAATTATTTCAATGGATAGGTTGAATATCAAATGCTGGCAAAGCATTACTTTCAAAAGAAATAACAACAATGAAAAAACTGCCACAGCAAAGTCACCAGAGGTAAGAGCTGCCATGTGGAAGTAATGTCCATAGCTTAAAACATTCATTTGCCAGCACTGCAGACAGCTGACACTGTCATGGCCACTCTTGAGGCAGTCCTATTATGCTCTAAGACAGAGACTGCAGAAAATAACTAGGAAAATCAAATCAACTGCAGCCAACATTTCTTGCGGACAAGGTGATATTCTCTTCCCATCCCTCTTTGGCTTACTTTCTTTGATTATCTGTCAATGTGATTCCCTGCGCAGACACCTTGAAATGGACAACGGTTGAGATGGGAGAAGGATCTTGCATCAGCGTCAGGCTGAAGGCTTTCTGTACTGCTTGGTAGCCCGTCAGGGACTCCATCTCCACTGAATTCAGGTACCAGACATTACATGCTGTAATGAAAGAGGGGAAAGACTTTGAGAGGTCATTACCCAACAGCAAGCAAACAGGTATTTTCTGAACAAAACCAAACAAAATGTGCATTTGTAAAGTAAACAGGGAAGACTGGCAGAAAACTACCACAGCTTCTATGTGTGCCTCACCTTGTCCCACTGCTGCTTCACAGACTATATTTTTGGACGTCATAGGCCTTTTGCTGTCCCTTTGTTTTTAATACCTTTATATTTAAGCCAATGATTGTATTTATCTATTACGCACAGATCCTGAAATTTAAATACAAGACAGCAACAGAGAGCGGCCACTTATAGGTACTACTACAGCAAAAGCATTCCTGAGGAGAACGAACTGGGATATTTTGCTTTTAAGTTCAATTACAGCAGCCAATAAGAAAATGCACATTTTTGCAGCATACATTCACACATTTTACACTTTCAAATGATACTTAATCATAGAAATCATAGAATCATTAAGGTTGGAAAAGACCTTTAAGATCATCAAGTCCAACTGTCAACGGAGCACCACCATGCCCATTAAACCATGTCTCAAAGTGCCACGTCTACATGTTTCTTGAACACTTCCAGGGATGGTGACTCCACCACCTCCCTGGGCAGCCTGTTCCAATGTTTGACCACTCTCTCAGTAAAGAAACTTTTCCTAATATCCAGTCTAAATCTCCCCTGGCCAACTTGAGGCCATGTCCTCTCATCCTATAACTAATTACTTAGGAGAAGAGACCAACAAACACCCACGTCGCCACACCCTCCTTTCAGGTAGTTGTAGAGAGCAATAAGGTCTCCCCTCAGCCTCCTTCTCTCCAGACTGAACAAGCCCAGTTCCCTCAGCTGCTCCTCATAAGACTTGTGCTCCAGATCCCTCACCAGCTTCATTGCCCTTCTCCAGACACACTCCAGCAACTCCATGTCCTTCTTGTAGTGCTGAACACAGCATTCGAGGTGCAGCTTTACCAGTGATGAGTACAGGGGCACGATCACTTCCTTGCTCCTGCTGGCCACACTATTTCTCATACAGGCCAGGAGCTATATTCAAAGGAAACCACTAACTTGTTTGACACGACAAGAACATTTTCACCCCATAAAGAATTGAGGGTTGTTGCAAAGCTCACTTGTCATTAATTCCATAGTGTTTTGTATCTTTAGCGATTTTAGGGCAAAGGAAATTCCACATTGAGAAAAATTACTGACTTGGGTATTTTTAGATCTATCCTTTATCTCAGCATGCACTTATTTTTAAAAGCCCTATTCCTCTCCTAAAGATAGCAGTAACTTCTGAAGTATCTCTATAAAATAGAAGCTCATTGGTTTCTAAGGCTACTGAATAGTTAATTTTTTTACCTGGTCTCATTATCAAATCTGCAGCAAGCACTAGGAAAAGAAGTACTAGTATTATAGTAGTACTGTAGTACCAAGTAATACTGCATAGTACTACATAGTAACAGTACCATATAACATTATACAGTATTTATTATTATTATTATTATATACTATTAATAGAATTATTCACATGCTTAAATACTTTAGGACTGTATAAAGTCAAATTTACAAACAGATTAAGAACATCTTTGAAATTGAAAAGGCCTCCTAGTCTTATTCTACAACACAAGC